GACTAACTCAAATCTTGCAGAATACCCTATTTTAGTAAAAAAAAACATTAAAAATAGCAAAACATCTCATTTTGACACAAATTTTGGCAGTGAGCATCACATGAGCCCGTAGATCCCCCCGTAACTTAAATCTACTAATTTTGAGCAGATTTGGTATGGGCGACACTCCCAGTGTCACCCAGACCTAACTGCCCCAAATTGATAGTTTCTGCATGTCAACACCTCCCAAATCATTTTAGGCCAAGTTCATTGAACCTAGACCAGGTTCAATGAACCTAGACCACTTTGGTCTAGGCAACACTACCAGTGTCAGTGTCGCCCAAGCCTTTGACTACCAAAACGACAATCCAAGATGGGAAATCTTCTGGTTATAGTATGTTACTCATTTCAGACGATTTTCAGCTTATAAAAATGTCATTTCAAGATCATTTTAGGTTAAACTCTTGAGATTCTTTGGACTCTAGAGACTCTTTAGACCTGATTAGCTCTTGTGCCCAAAAAACCTTAGAGATTATGAGACCTGAGAAAAATCTAGACCTAGGAAAACCCTAGCTTTAGAACACTTGCAGCTCTTAGATCAAGAAATCCATCCAACCAAGCCACGGGCTGGTCAAAACCTGAAAAGAGACAAAGATGACGCATGGCATAAACCCAGCTAGTCCTGACACAGGTGAGGCCTCGAAGCCTCTAGAGCCCCAAGCCAATTGGCCCGGTCTGGTACATTTTTACTCTTTTTTTTTTTATTATTAGAATTAAATCAGTTTTATTGGTTTTTAGATAGTATTTCATATTTCGGACAAATGCTGACTTTGCCACTGATATGAAAGTAGATTTTTCTCACTTCTGAGTAGATCTGACCTCAGATTAAAATTCGATTGTCCCCACTTTCTATCACACACTTTTTAAAATCACTTTATAGTACAGATCTAAGGGATTTTCTTATGAAAATCTCTCCGATTTGCATTGTAAACAAATAGAAAAAAGGCTTTTGTACTACATAACACATACAGACTTTTCTCCCACCTAACACCCCGGAAAATCTGGTTTCTCCTTTCTATTTCTTAAGCATGGAAGGCATTTATCATATGACTTTTCCAAACAAACAAACAAACTTTTTTTATGATGCTGACTTGGCCGTCCTTACTTCTTGCCCAGGCCCCATCTCCTATCAAATGATCAATGATCAATCAATGCACCAAGTAAAGGAAGTTTCCAAAAACAAAGATTTCATCTAAATCTAAGAGGAACAAGAAATACAAAGGTTTAAAACAAGAAAAAAAAGAGAAAAGATCTGTAGGAGTTTTTTGTTATTATTTTTTAAAAAAATATAAGAAAAATAAAGATATCATATAAAGGGTGTCGTTTGTATAAGGTGTCTACCTTAAATACTCTAAGTGGGCGCACCTCTAAATTATGCTAAAAGATGTAAATTTGGTCTTGAAAAAACTTTGTGACAACCTAAAGTTTTGTTTGGGGAAAATTTTACGTTACACCCTAATTTGGTGTGTGATTTCCCTATAGATCCTGAAATTTAAAAGATTTCTAAGGGCATTAATTTGGTCAGTTTTCTATCTTCTGACCCCTTAAATCGTTTTTATCTATGAAAAGTTCATTTTGAACAATTTGTTTGCCCTAAATTTCAAAACATGTAAAGACGCATACGTCCATCTCTCTACTCCAAACATACCCTCTCCCCCTCCTCTCTCTCTCTCTCCTCTCTCCCCCAATCTGAGCTCCGCCCCATGCCCCCTTTCACTCTCTACCGCGAACCCTCTCTATCCCCATTTGAGCTTTGCGCCATACCCCTTTTCTCTCTACCCCAAGCCCTCTCTCTCCTCTCTCTCTCAGTCTCACTCCTCCCATTTGAACTCTGTGCCATACCCAAATCGTGCTCTTCCTTAAACGAATCCTGCTTTATTGAGCAACATGGTTTTGAGCCCTAAACCTAGTGATTCCAAAGAGAGAATCCTCCATGCCCATTGGGTTTAGATATCCAGGCTCGAGCTCCTCAGTGATTATTTCAAGACGTCAACCAGTCAATTCTGGAGAGAGAAGTTTCTAGGATTCATGATGTTGATATTTGGGAATTTTATGTAGCAAAGTGAGGCTCTATCTTGGGAAAATATGTTGCGACTAGCTCATCACTTTCAATAATTCAACCGAGTTGATGTCAAAGTTTAAAAGCCCTGATATGACACAGCACCTGTGTCCATGCGCCTTTCTCACACTGCAATCAGAAAGCTAAATTACTTTTGGATAGAGACTCTCATCATCCTTGAATAATGAATACATTGATGAAACATGGCCCAAATTGCTGAATGATGTTGAAAAATCTATATTAGAACGCTTGAATATGGTTTTGTGCAAAACACTAAAAAATGGTAGTTATTTCCATGGATGCAATGTGAGAAAGGAGCCGCTGAGAGGCTTGGTTGCGATTTTGTGCCAAGAGAGATATTGAGTAAAGAGAGGGTTTGGGGTAGACAGAAAGACGGGGGTATAGTGCAGAGCTCAAATTTACCAAGAGAGGGAAGTAGACAGAAAGATGGACGTGAACGTCGTTATAGGATATGTTTGGGACAAATAAGTTGTTTAAAACACTTTAGGGGCTTAAAAAATAGGGAATTGACAAAATTAATGGTGTTAGAAATGTTTCAAATATCAGGGTTCATAAAAAAATCGAATATAAAATTAGGATGCGCGGTGAAATTTTTCCCTGTTTTTTTTTTCCCTAATAGTGAAATTAAAGCTTTAAAAATAGTGCAAATTGAGTAGATAAATAAATACTTGAAAAAATCTTGAAAAATATCCCTCTTTTTCTTAACTTTATTTATTTATTAAATTCTATCTAGCCTAGCGTAGCCTGATCGGGCTAGGGCCGGGATTTTTCGAGGGCCCCTTTGGCATGTTTCATGTCGGGCATGGCTTGGCCACCCTGAAGGGGAATCGGGCCAGGCTAGGGTCAAGGCAAGCCCGACCCATTGCCCGCTCTAAATTTTGTTATTTATTTATTTCCTATAAACCTTATTCACAGAAAAATTAGGATCCATCTATACAACAATGCCACATCAATACAAAGATCAAAGAAAAGTTTTTGGCCAAAATACCCCAAAGTGTTTCATGGCATTATGGTTAATTTTTTTAAAAAAAATTCTTTTAACTTTATTTAGTACGTCCGACATAGATGGATGTGATTCTCATGCTCGAGAAAATTCCACTTGAATGATTAAAAAGGTTTTCGTCCACCCTTCAAGCACCTACATAATAACTCATAGTTCAATGTCCTTCGTGTGTTTTGCTTGTGTGATTTAGAGCCACTAATTTCAAACGAAACCTTATTTTCACTGATTCTTATTGTAAACGTAATATGCATTTCAAAAAAAATAATAATAATTTATCTACATCTAACGAATAATTAAAATAAAAAAGAGTTATGGTAGGGTGCTTATACAATAGAGTATTTTATAATTATAATCAATAAATTTTGGATATTTATATACCTTTGTTTTGTAATACATTATTTTTTTAGCAAATGTATTTTGGTCATTAAATGCACATTACCCACATAGAGTATTAATTGCCGTGTTCCATGTGGGTGATGTCACGCCCCATGAAGTTCTAATTTTTTGAGCTTAAAATTCTAATTTTTTTAACAACCATAATGTTCAAGCCGAGATGATCGTTGTAAAGGTTTCCTAATACTTAAAATTCTAATTTTGTGAGTTATGAGATAAGGCTTTACTTACCAATCATTTTTCTTACTTTTTTTTCATAAAGCCTAGGCTTTATTAAATCTCTTTCCATTGTAAAAGTACATATAAATTAACTTGCAAATTATGAACAGAGTATTCACAAGCTACTCTTCGAGCTTGTTATATACGTAATTGGGAGATGAGTAAAAGCATACCGACAAAATGGAAAAATAAAAGAACAAATTAGGTGGAACTTGCAAAGAATGTAGGTTAACAGTGAATCAATCAGTTAAATCTCACATTCCAATGCCTGGTATTAAAAAGCCAAGAATCTCTCTCTCTGGAACCATATGGATAA